CTTGATTTTTCCAACTTTTTCGTTCTTCGCCCGATCGTCCCGAAATCTCCACCAATGCTTCCCGACACTTCCCAAAGCGCGTTCCAACCTCCGGTTTACCTGAAAAAGATATAAAAGTGTGCAAATAAGGTTGTTCTAGAGACTAAAATGAATATGTAAAATGCAAGGAAAAGGAAGAACAATTGTGCTAATTATATGCATAAAATGGGACTGAAAGGTGTGCAAAAAGGTGCACAAGTAGCACCTAACACTCCCGAGAACCAGAAATTACTGCAAGACTTGATAGACACTCGAAGGCAATTAAAGAAGCAGTCTACAGTGATTTTAAGTGAACAAACTTCAAAAGTTGTGTTGGGAGAGACACCAGAAAAGATGGGGGATCCTGGACGCCTCACTCTTCCATGCGAGTTTGGGAATAAAATGAAGGTTAATGCTTTAGCCGATTCTGGGGCTAGCATTAATCTAATGCCTTTTTCATTTTATCAAAAATTGGAGATTCAGAAGATGAAGGCTACAAAAATGAAGATTCACATGGCGAACCGTTCGGTGACACAACCCCGAGGCATAGTGGAGGATATTTTGGTGAGAATTGAAAATTTTATTTTTCCAATAGACTTTGTAGTCTTGGACATGAAAGAAGATCCAGATGTTCCGATAATCCTAGGTCGGCCATTGCTCAACACTGCTGGTGCCCTTGTTGATATCCGCGAGTCGAAGCTAACTTTGAGGGTTGGAGATGAACAAGAAGTCTTTGGGATAAAGGATGACTTTCAAGAAAATAAAGAAGAGGTGTTCACAATTAATGAAGAGAATGAACTAGAAGAACTGGAAAAGCTTATGGAAGAAGAGATAAAAGTAGTTCATCAAGTCAAAATGACAAAACCAAAGGCATCTGTTCCATATTGGATTGAAGTCATAGCTTACAAGAGCCCGCCTTCTTGGGTAAGCAAAGAGGATGAGGAAATAACAAGTGATGAAGAGGAGGTCACTTCAAGAGTAACAAGGCCGGTGGTGAAAGCAGAAGAGAATGACATAAAGTACAAGGAGGAAACCAAGGGCACAAAACGCAAGCTTGAAGAAAAGGGAAAAGCTAAAAAGGAGAATTCAAAGAAGGCGTATAAAAGGAGAGTTCAAGCTTACAAAAGGCGGTTCAAGGAGCAAAAGATCTTGGTGGAGGACTCTTCCGAAGACTCAACGTAGGAGGCACGGAGTCCAGCTCAAGACTCCAAGAAAAAGAAGCGCTTCTCGGGAGGCAACCCGAGTTTGGTTTAAAATTTTTTCTCTTTCTTTTTGCATTTTAGTTTTGAAAACTTAGATCGAGTCATCCAACTCTATTAGAACAAAATGTGGGGACCTAAAAACGGAAGTAGTACTAATTAAGAACTTAGTTCAACTCAGAAAAATTTAATTATCCAGACTTTATTCACGACGTGAATAGTTAGCCATTCACGACGTGAATTGTGAATAAACCGGACACATAATCCATGATAAGGCTTAACCCATTAGACTAGCAAGCCCAAGACCAGTCCGTGAGTACATGGCCCAAACTTAAGCCCAACCACTACTCACGACGTGAATTGTATATAATTCACGACGTGAACTTTTACAAGTACGGGACCACATATTAAGTCCCTGGAAACCAGCAAACCCTCTCATTTGTTTATTGTTCACGAAGTGGAAACAAAAATTGGTCCCCCTTGGTCCCCATTGCTGCGAATTTAGCCGACAATCCTACTAATTACCATTGTGCTTACGTAATACTTCCAACAAAGGTACTAATTCTTGATTATTACGTTTAATTTTTGGTTCTAGTAGAGGAACTTAGGGTTAGGGTTTGTTAAATGATGAAATTAATTCTTTACAGTTCGTAAATAACCTTGGAATGTTCATGCTAAGTGTTTGGAAGTGGTATAGGAGTAAAACCCAGGGATATGTTGACTGGATTTTCCCCGATTGTGAAGATTCTGCCTCCTGTGGTTACGAACTCACGACGTGAATCATACAAGATTCACGACGTGAATTCTGGTGCTAATCAGAATTCATTTTTCTATGTTTGACTTGTGGATATTTGTTTTGGCTGTTTCTTTTTCGTGTTTTTGCAGGAATGGCTCCAAGAAGAGAGGCTCCAGCTGGGGTTGCGGGTTTACACCCGTTTTACAATTTTCCCGCGACGACGGCCCGTGATGTTTTGACCCGTTGGAACAACAGATTGGGATGGCTTTATAACAGGGAAATTGCAGTTGCTCCAACAGTCAATTGGACAAGATTGAGGGAAGTAGGGCTCGTAGACCGGGTGGGCCCGTACTTGAAAAAACATTTATTGGAGATGGCTATTCGTTCACCTGTTCTGGTTGGCAAAATCTGTTCCGGGTGCAAGAGCGGGTCTACAAGGAATTTTGTGTCGAGTTCTTCGCAACGGTGACGTTTCAGGAAACGGTCCAAGATCCACATTGGCCACATGCGTTGGTATTTCGATTGGGGGGAGTACCGGGAGTGCAGCCTAGTTGAGTTTGCTTGGAGAGTGGGACTGTATGATCGACAGGAGGCTGTGACTCCCGAGTTTGGCATGTTTTTAGGAGAGGCTGCTAGAGGATATATGGAGGGTGTCACGGGATATTCTTTTTGGCATAACATTGCCTCCGGGATGTTTAATTCCGGAGTATCTCCTGAGAGTAGTATTCGGTCCCCGATCCATCGTTTACTCCACCGGTTCATTACCTTTTCCATCAACCATAAGAGGCATGGAGACAAAGTGACTAAGCAGAACTTATTTTTCTTATGGTGCATCTTACAGCCTGGTGTCTGTTGTAACATCCCGTATTTCCTAGCCCGTTTTCTGGCTGGGTCTGCTGCGAGTTCGCGCCCTGGGAGCCCTATTTGTGGGGGTCATTTTGTTACTCGTTTGGCCCGTTCTTATCATCTGATTGTTCCCGATATTATTAGATCCATGACGTGTGTAGACGAACATGACTTTGGTATGGGATATTTGGAGACTATGCGAGTGGTCAGAAATTTTGGATCGCACTGGGGAATAGTTCCATCAGACGCTGAGGGTGAAGATGAGGATGATCAGCCAGCCGATCAACCTGCGCCAGAGCCGAGACCGAGACGCAGGAACGTAAGAGGAAGGGGAGACCGCGGGCAGCCGACACACCCAACTGCTTCCATGGTGGGTGCACCTTTTGGGGGTGATATGGCTGGTTAGTTTGACCAGTTATCGTTGAGTGTGAATTGGATAGGCGGCACGATGGAAAATGTGGTTCAGCATCTTGGGGTGGAGCAGCCGTCTCATTTAGGGTATCATTACCCGATTTGCCCACGTTGGTCGGAGTATGGTGGTCGTAGAGGTGATGGAGCTGGTACCAGTGGAGCGCATGAAAATGAGGCGGATGATTGATCGTTATTTATTTTGTTTGATTTGTGTTTAGTTTCTTTTAGTTTATTTTAGTTTGTTTTTATGGGATTGTAAGAACTACTTTGAATATTATGTTACTTTTATTCTTCGTTGTTGATTGTTTCTCAGAAATTGCTATGGAGTGCTTAGGAGGGATAGCGAGTTATGATGCGTACGTTTTTAGCTGGGAGTGTTTAATTCCGAGAGTCGAGACCCATATTTTCAAAACGTTTGGGGTGAGTTAATGAAGTGGAGTGTCCGCGTGAGTTATAACTGATGACTTTGGAAGAGTCTTAATACATTAAGACATTAGAAGAAGGATTGAGCAATGTTTTCTACTTGTCCAGTTCTCACGACGTGAACATTTCTAATTCACGTCGTGAGTCAGTTATCGGGTTGTCAGGATATGTTCAGTTCGATTTCACGTCGTGAATTATTACACGCTCACGTCGTGAATATTACATGTTTTCCCACATTGGTCATTCTACTTTTGGAGACTTACACCATGTTAAAAGATGATTGAAGGCCCGATTTCATGTTTTGCGGGTACACTCCTTATTTCGCGAGTTCCAAAATCAAGTTTCTATTTTTGGAAGTCCATATTCAAATTGCACATT